TGGTTGATTTAACAGTGGATTTTTTTATAAGGGTTGGGTTCGTTTAATTTGAGTTTGATTATAGGATTCAATGATGCAAAATCAAAATAACTTGTTACAATAATAGGTACGTGTGGGAACCAAGGTGTCTATGGTTGTTCTATACTGTCAGTCCATACTTGCGGGATTGAATATTAGGGATTGTCAAGAACTGTTAAACATATGGGAAGAGAAGAAACTTTTTGATTGGGAAATACATAGCTTGATGAATATGAAAAGAAGAGCTTCAGAGTTAAGTATGGCGTTTGTTCAATTAAGGAAATTTTTTTTTCTTTTTTAATTCTTACAAAATTGAGTTTTTATTTTTGGTTGATGTGTCAACTTTAAATCCGTTAAATTAAATTTAAATGAGGTGGTGTGTGAATGAGAAAAGTCAAGCAAATCCTAATAGAGAAAATCGAAGTAAATGATCTAGATCCCTAATTTAGAAGTACAGGAAGGACTAAATGTATTGATGTGCTTACAGTTCACATAGTGCACATAGTATATTGGTGTTTCATGTGAATATAAAAGCTTCAGGTATTTAATTTTGGAAACCTTAAGCATGTGTTGTTTTTTTTTTTGGTGCCATGCGTTTCAAATTAGTTGCAAATATATGTATGTTAGAAACATATATTAGTTGCAAAGTGCTTGTATCTCAAGTGATTAGAGCATTGGCAGCGAGGGGCCCAAGGGGAGGGTTGGGGTGGGCGCAAACCCAAAATGTGGTTTTCAGCAATAAGAAGCTGCCAGGGCAAGCAGTGGGGCCCACATACCTGGGCTGGCCCGAGCGCTAGCCCGCAGGCTGTGTTGACGTCACGATGACTTTTTTTAAAGCGGGGGAGTGCAAGGCACGCGCCAACTTTAAAAAAAATTTGACGCGCCGCTACAGTGACCGCCCAACGGCTCTCTTCCACGTGTCATCTGCTCGGCCATCCGATCAGCTTTTTAAACATATCCAACGGCAACCATTTTTTCGCTAATTAAAAAATCGAAAAAGCAACCCCCAATGGCTCTCTACCACGTGGAAGCTCCTGGGCTCTCCGATCCCTTTTTTCCAGCAATCCAACGGCAGGAAATTTTTTGCCCAATAAAAAAATGAAAAAAAATCGGAAAACATTTAAAAGATACGAAAAAAATACTGAATTTTTTTTTTCTATAAATACCAACCAATACTCTTCACTTTTAACACCAACTCCTTATACATTTTCTTCTCCTTCAACTATTTTTCACTTTCTGCTCAAATTTTTTTCACTTTCAAGTTGTTTTTTCTCTATCATATTATGGGTTCTTCTAGTGAAACTGGAGGAGGGGCATGGAGCATGACGGAAGATATTAGCTTGTGTGAGGCTTGGCTTCAAGTTAGTCATTGTCCCGTAACCGTAACGGGCAATGAGATTAAATTCTGTCATATGTGGAAAAACATTCATCGGGAATTTTGTGAAAGGGTAATTGGTTCGACCCGTACGGATCAGGCATTATCTAGTAGGTGGAAAATTCTTAAGAAAGAGTTGAAAAAATGGAGAGATGCCTTGACAAAAGCGATGAACAACAATAGAAGCGGGGAAAACCTTAGCAGTGAGGTAAATTATTTGTAATTTTTTGTTTTATTAATTTCTATGTCATATTAAATTTTATTTAAATGTTTCTTGCAATTTATATATTATGTTAATATTTCTTGTATTTCCAATATTAATATGAATGTTTCTTGCAATATTTATATTTTGTTTTGCATTTGTAATAAATGGTTAAAGTTTCTTGCGTTTCCATTAATTTTTGTAATACTTGTTGCATTGCCAATATTTTTTAAAGTTTCTTGTATTTCCATTTTTTTTTTTATACTTGTTGCATTGCCAATATTTTTTAAAGTTTCTTTCCTTTCCTTTTTTTTTTTTTTTTTTGGTATAGTTTATGCAAGACCAAATGTTTTTTGGTGCTACTGGGCAAGGGAAAAAAAGTTTCAACCATACCTTATGTTGGGAGGTGGTGAAGAATTGTAAGAGATTCCAAATTATTCCAACGGGTCCAACAATAGTGTTGAACAAGATGTCACTCCATGAGACACCGACATCGGATTCACCTATGGATTCCCCGATGAGTCAAGACTCACCTATCAAAAAAGAGCTGAAGCCTATTGGGAGGAAGACGGCGAAGGAGAAGAGAGGGAGTAATTCTACCAAGAATACATCTAAATCTTTGGAGGAGCTTTCAAAGATGCAAGCCATGAGAATTGAAATGGATATGAAACAACAAGAGCACGATAGGGCAATGGAAGTAGAATATGCAAAAGAAGGGAGTATGTACGCCAAGGAAAGATTGAAAAAAATGATCGGGAAACCATGGCTATGGATACAACCCATATGTCCCCCGAAACAAAACAATTTTGGAAGTTAAAACGAAGGGATGTTATGAGACGAAGACTTTTCCGTGACGATGGACCTAGCAACACGGATTGGTTAAATGATCAAAACCATTAAGTTAGTTTGCTTGCCTTTCATTTCATTGTATGTTTTGTTTTGTTTAAAAAAGTAGTTGTAATTCATGTATTTTATTTTATGAGTTGTATTCATTTTCTTTTAGTGAATGAAGAAAATATTCAACAACATTCCTTTTTATTCAAAACATTCCATACATAAAAAGCAAACCACAACCAAAGCATAAAAAATAAACAAACCACAACTAAAGCATAAAAAAACAACAAAGCATAACTAAAAATACAACATAAACATAATACATTAAAAAAAAACATCTTCACTTTACTTTATTGTCCTTCATTGCCTTTCACCGCCCACAAATGCTCCATCAAGTCCATTTGACGGTGTTCATGAATATATGACGATTGCATCTCCGTGTAGCGCTCAATCATCCGATGCATGAAACTACCGTCTCTAACTAACGGATCATGATGCACTGGTTCTCCATTTGGCCCCATATGTTTTTCATAAATTCATGTTAAGGTCGTGTTCATGGGATCTGGTTCATACACTTCATCGGCATTGTAATCATACTCATCTTCCACAATCATGTTGTGGAAGATGATACAAGTCATCATTATACTCCTAAGCACCTCCTCATCAAATAGACGTGCCGCTCCCCTAATAATTGCCCACCGGGCTTGAAGGATACCAAAGCACTTCTCCACATCTTTTCTGTACCCCTCTTGATAGGCAGGAAAAAAAATTTCCTTGTGGGATCGGGGATGTGGAATTGATTTCACAAATGTTGTCCACCTCGGGTAGATACCATCAGCTAGATAATACCTGTTCTGGTAAACGGTATTATTAATTTGATATGTGATAATTTGGCCTTCACCTCTCAGAACATCATTGAACACCGGGGATTGACCCAGGACGTTCAAATCATTTTGAGAGCCGG